CCGGAGCCCAAGAAGGAGGAGACGAAGCCGGAGCCCAAGAAGGAAGAGAAGAAACCGGAGCCCAAGGAGGAGCAGACGAAGCCAGAGCCCAAGAAGGAGGAGACGAAGCCGGAGCCCAAGAAGGAGGAAAAGAAAGATGTTGAAGCCACTAAGCCAGCAAAGAAGGAGGCCGCAGACTCCAAGACCCAGAAAGCTGAGAAGTCTTCCAGCACCGACACAAAGGAGACCAAGACTACCGAGGAAAAAGACAAGAAGTAAATAAAACAGACAAGGAAGCAACAGCTTAGGGGCAGGGGAAACAAACGCCAAAGACCTCTGGGAAACAAGGGGTGGTGGGAGGGATGGGAGGAACACAACAGACACAAGTAGCCTTTTGAAAACTGGGTGGCAAAGTAAGTAAACAAGCAATAGTGTCTTTAGGTATTAACACCTGTGATGGCCAAACGTGTTATGATAGCTTCTATATATGATTGTAGTGAATGCGGAATTCTTTTATTACACCTGAATGTGACAACTGCCCTAACAATTAAGTGCATTTAATAAATGTCCAACTGACTGGAGATATATAGACAGAACTTTTATCTGGACAAAGCCTTTGAGGGTAGTTCTGAATTAAATAAAAAAGACTTAGACTCACAGGAATATATATGAATATATTTACAAAAAATACAAAAGAAGAGAATTTAAAGTACCTGCTTGTCATGCACCTTACACAACTTTCTTCTTGGTTTTCAAGAAAACAAATGCACTTACTGTACTGTAACCCCAAATGATTGTTGAGTGAGCACTGCTGAGATTATGCAATACTGTATATGACTCAATAAGCAAGCTGAGCTAAATAAAGAATGGAAAAAAATGTCCTGCGTGTATGTTGTCTTGCATTCCTTTGGTATTGAATGCAGGTTTTCCCAAATCCAGTTTGTGAGTCTGGTTTCCTCTCGTTTTCTTTTACAAAAAGAAAATTGAGTCCATAACGGGACTGTATAGACCTTTTGAGTTAGTCAGCTCATATAAATATCAGTTTCCAGATAGAGAGAGGTTAGTGCAGGAGTCTTAAACATCTGAACATTTTCCATCTTGAGCAAGGGAACTTGATAACCATACATTTTCTAACAGCTCCGTCCAATCCAGTGTCTATCCCAGAGACTAACCCGGCAAGCAACGAGCACAAAGCAGGATTTGACACAGACACACACACTCGCAGCAGGGCCAGTTTTCACAGAAGCCGATTAACCCACCAGCATGTCTCTGGACTGTGGGAGGAAACTGGAGCACCCAGAGGAAACCCAACCCATGCAAACATGAGGAGAGCATACATGCCAAGCAGACAGAACCCCAGGTCTAGAATCGAACCCAGGGCCCCAGCACAAAAAGATGATTAAAACAGATTATTTAGAGCTCAGAGAAAAACAGATTTAAAACTCATAAATTGCAAGATGGATTTTAAAATGAACCCAAAAACTCACAGGGAGACGTGAAATAAATTTAGTTTTCTTCTACTTCTGTTATCTCGGCTACACTGTTAGTTTTGTGCCATTCAAATTGAATTTCATTATATTTAATTTGTCCAATTCAAATTGAACATGAAGCTTTAAAATAGCATTAAATAGGATCAGTATATATCTTATCAGAAATTCCAGCCCTATCAATGGAAAAGAGAGCCAGACTCAAGCTTTACAAACTGTATAAAAATAACAAAAAGAGTTAAGATGTCTTAAAAGCTCTCAATATAGCAGTTTAGACTGGTTAAAGAAGTGAATTTTAATCTGCATTTCCATCTATTACAACAGCAATCACACAATCATGGTTCAAAGCCACTGAACAAAATGTCATAACTCCAAAAAGTATAATAATTAACAAGAAAAGCTCATTGGCAAGTCTCCAGTGCTGGAAAGCAGAACTGCTTAGGCATCGGTACTCTGACCTCTAGAAACATTTTAAATTGGATAGTTCCATTAATTAGGTGATCAGATTTTAAACAATAAGATAAACACTATGAACAGTAGCTCAGAGGTGAAGGCATCCACATAGGTGGGCAGCATTGAATTGGACACTGCAGGAGACACACTGTGACGAAACATTCCTGCTGAGAAACCTTCTAATTCTGTGTACAAAGCAATGCTTCCTTATGTCTGCATGCATATTAGGATTCACAGGCTCTACTACTTAATCTTGACCTATCTTAATACCATCTATTACTTTAAATTCATAGATGATCCCAGTCTGGGACTGTACAAATCAGTGTAGGCCACACCAGAATTAATCAGGGCTGTTTAAGAAACACCCTGCATACTTAATCATTAATTCAAATGAAGACAAATAAAGGGACTGACAAAGAAAAGAACTGAAGAATTGCCTCTAATTACCTCATTTCCATATGACACTGTACAAACTCATCTAAGTAATGTGCTGTGCAGTGGAGTGTCTCAGTTAAAAAACGTGGTTCATTCACACAGGCCCAGTATTTGATCTTGTGGGTTTAATGAAGAGGCATTGATGATTTTAATAATACCAATAATAAAGAAAATGACTTTAAACAGCTAGGTGTGCAAGAGAGACCAAATGGATTCCTCCACTATGCAATTTTTACATTGAATGAATACAGCTTGTATGAAAGTTATATTCACCTTGTGAGGCAAGAAAGTCTTTCCAAGTACTTAAATGATCACTAACTGGACCACTTACATTAATTTAAGTGAGCCAGAGTGGGCCTAATTGTAATCAGTGCCAACAGACCTATGCCTTTAACATCTGCCTGCTGTAAAGAAGAAATGTATCAAAACATGAATCTTTATACCTTCGAGAGAAGGGTCATAGGAGATATCAATATTTATAACTCCGGTGATCTTATTTTACTGGTTCATCCCAGTTTTCATTCATCATGAATGCTCTTCTGTCCGTGGGAATACAAGTTAAGCCTGGGCTCCGGTCCTTATGCATATTGATGAGGCTTTATAGAGACCCGTGATGAATTAGACTCTCTGTATCAGGCCCTGTGGAGGATTAATGAGGCAGGTTAAAAAAGGCTGCTGTTTCAGAGAGAGGGAAAAGGGTTTTGTTACTCTGTTTCGGAAGAAAGAAGGGGACTGAACACAGTTTCTTCTAGAGAGTTACAACAACCAGGTTTGGCTTGAGTGGTCTGACTGTGCAATATGACTTGAGTCCTATCTGGGGCGATCTCTTCACCTGCGAGTCAAGTGCAGCTCTGCCTTGCTTTCCAATACGCATACCTAGAAACAACTCCACAAAACCTTCAATATCAGTACAGTTTACTCCAGCATGTTCAACTCCACAAAACCTTCAATATCAGTACAGTTTACTCCAGCATGTTCTTACAGGCCTTTTCCAACTCAATGCTTCTGGTTTTCGGTTGATTTATTAACATCTAAACCTGGTTGGACTCATCCACTCTGGTTTCAATGGCTTTGATACTTGGAATCCATCTGCTTACTGAAACAAAGCTCACTTTTTATATCACTTTGCCAGGGATCCGACAATGATGACAATAAGATGTTTGAAGGCCAAGTGATACTTAGAAAGTGAAGCTGAGAGGTTTATTAATATTTCAGTGGCCTCAAATCTGTGCCAGTAGGTGATAATACCACACGAAAGACAGCTTTAAAATTAGACTCCCATCAATGTCTGCGTTGACATTCACTTTCGTAGACGGCGCCAAAACACACAGTGCTAACAGGCACCCCTCTCGTCCTAAAATCCAATTTTGGTCTTCTGCCATGTACTGTATGTCATCCTTCAGCCTGCAAATAACCATCTGAATTTGCCCTTGGCCAGAAAACCTCACCATCTATTAGTAACATTTCAGGAGAAGTTTGTTCTGTACTGTTTTAATGCACTGTAGCTTTGCATATGTGAGCATAGTTTTCAGAATGATGCAGATCTTGAGGCATTGCACTAGGAAAGAACAAGTAGCTACTGTTCTGGAGGCAATCAATCTCATTAAAGCCAAGGAGAAGCAAATTAAAAAATAAGAAAAAAAAAAGAAAATTCATCATTCAGCCAAACTGTACTCCTCTGGATATTAGAGAAGGACATTCGAATACCTAAAAAAGGAGAAGAGTGAAGAATGGCTGTTTTGTGGTGTGTGCAGGCCTGGAAATATGTGGAAGTTTCTCAGGACTATGCATTTCTATCAGTGGTGACCTGTGTTTCATTTTTGGGTGGTTTACACATACAGTGCCTTGTGAAACTATTCCACCCCTCCATTTTCCAGCCACTTTATCCAAATCAATCTCGGTACACAACGGGCACAAGGCAGGGTGCTGCCAGTCCATCGCGGGGCAGACAGCCACACAAGACACACACTCACACCAGGGCCAGTTCTCAGAGAGGCGGATTAACCTACCAGAATATCTGAACTGTGGGAGTAAACTGGAGCACCTGAAGGAACATACAAACTCCACCCAGACAGCAGCCCTGGAACTGAACCCAGGGTGCCAGTACAAGGCAGCAATGCTAATCGCTGTGCCACTGTACCACCTCGCCAAAGTATTTACCCCCTTGTAAAGATGAGTTTCTTCGATGGAGATGAATTTTAATCAAACTTAAGTCACAAAATGACTTTGACAAACCACACAATTAGTTGAATGGACAGTCTGTGTGCACTTAGTTCTCAGATTAGTTCTCAGGAATTCAGAGTAAATACAAAGGTCTCAGGGAGATAGCCGAGACAGGCAGCGAATTTCAAGCAATAGTCACATGGAGTTGATGACTGTGGATTGGCCGACTCCACTTTCAGGAGTAAAGAACCATTAGGGATCAAAGTAACATAACTATTAGGATAAAGGATATCCCCAATGCCGTGAAGCACTTGTGCTGCACATGTGCCACTGCATGCGTGGGTATCTTTGGGGCTCTGTCAGTCGGTGAGCCCCAGGAGAAAGGAGAGAATTGCATGCTTCCAATTTTGCAGAGGGCTTCTTTTCAATGACTCAGCGAGCAGCGGAGCTGAAGTACGTCAGAATGCTAATCAGCACTGGTGCACTGCAGACCCAGTAGGTCTATTTATAACTGCTTTGTTGCTCTCGGTGGTGCTGAGAGGACAGGAAGGGGGGAGACAGAGACAAGCAGGGAGGCTGCAGTCCTCTAGAGAGACAGGCTTAACTGGAGAGAACTCTCCATCGCTCTTATTATGGCACATCTGTCTTGGAACAGATGAAGACTGATAATGTACAACAGAATCACAGCTTAGCTTCCTGCTGCATACTGTATGTGGGAATGGGGTTAAAAAATGCTCAGAAAAGGAAACATTGCACAAGACGTATTTGCAATTCATTTGAAGGGTGTTTAAAGTGTTCAAAGGGGGGTTGCTTCCAAAGAAGAAACAGAACTGAAATTAGAAACCTTTAGAGGGTGGAGGAAAGGCTCACAAAACTGGACTTTTCTGGGTTAACTTATCAAACAGGATACCAGGATATACAACTCGTACTAGGAGGATTTAAAAGACAGCTCCTAAAGGAGCTGGTGACCACATTTCTATTAGCTTGCGAAATCAAGCAGCTGTAAGAACAAACCACCCAGAATCAAAAGCCAGATATTGAGAATTTTCCTCTTTAGTCATGTTTTGGGAGAGCTGGTCACATTTCAGTCTCATTGTGCATCTTCTGTAAAACACTGCGGCCAGGAAAAGGGGAGAACACGTCTGAGCACAAGAGCAGAGGGGTGTGGACATTCCAGCCACAGTCTCAATCTGTCCTTGAAACAGGAATTACTTGTCCTTGGCCAAGCTGGGAGAATGGAAGAATGTGCGGAAAAGGCTCAAAAACCAGGAAAATATTCCTAGCTTTTCTCTCCTGTAGACAACTGTGGACATTTTCCTTCCTACCGTCCTTCTGGCACGGGGGCATTTCTTGAGCAGTGCAAGGAAACCACTGGAGAGAGTTGAATACCCTGCACATGAGGACTGCCATGATGCAGAGGAATAAAGCAGGAGAGTGAGAAAGGAAGTTTTATTAGTCAAACCAGACACGTAAGGACACCATCTAAAAGATGCAGAACAGCAGTGAAGACTTCAGTCCACATCAGCCCCTCCCTCCATGTGCATCGCTGTGGAGGGGCAGGGAGGGGGGTCGAGGGGGCTGTGCTCAGCGGTGGCTGAAGAAGCCCTGAGGGTGGTTGTACTTGAATGGTTTCAGGCGGTTAGGACCCCTAGAAGAGACAAGAGCTCAAATTAGAGACCCAGCAATGGAGAAGCTCAGTCACCAAAAGAAACCCGGGTGAAGAGGAATACAGTAACCTTAGTACAGCCACACCTAGCACTGGAGAAAGAAACTGCATGGGGAATGGGCTCTATCAGACACAATTATAGCCTGGGTTCAAGGTGAATGCACTCCCAGGACAGCTATTTCTTACACCTGAGCAACATGCGATGGCTTTTTTGGGGCACTAGCAATGGGATTACTGGTATTCTGTCCACAGGATATAATTAAAATTACGGTCCATTTCTGAATGAGTGCACAGCTACGGAAGGAAGACGCGTCTACGCCTCAATGCACTCGAATGGAAACCTCGTGATCAGGTGTGAACTGCCCTGGAAGGGGCTCCGCGGAGCACTCGGCAGGCAGCGGGGACCGACCTCACGGTCCTCAGACACATCTTCTCTCGGGGGAACTCGCGGGGCCCCTCCACGCTGTCGTCCTGGCTCTCCGTCTCCAGGTACACGTCCAGGCACAGGCACAGGCGCTGCAGCTGGTTGGTCAGCAGCTGGTGGCCTGGGTGTGGTCCCTGCAGCTCCGACTTGAAGACGTTCACTTCACTCTCAATGGCCTGCAGAAACACCGCAACTCCTTTCACTTAATCCCTGCTCCCCTGTGCGGATCCAGTGGAACTCATAATGGGAAAAATGAGCAGGGGCAAATCTGGATAGTGTCTGCAAAAACCAACTTAAAACACACGGGACTGCTGCTCCGTTACAACTGAGAGGAAGTCATTTGTCCCAGAAAGCTGATCTGGATGTTCGGTATCTTACAGATCTAAGGATCTCATCTCAAGCTTCAAGAAGCCAGGGCATCAGTTTCAACGCACAGCCGGGCTGCTCGTTTCATACTTACTGTTTCGAGACATACGAAGAAAAGAAGAGCCTCCCAAGTTCAGTTTCAAATGCAGCTTTCTGAAGTGTTTGATGTTAAAATCTGATGGATCTGTGCATCTGACACACATGACCTCAAGCGTATGTTAGCTTCTGGAAGGAGCGCTGGCGCTACATAGGACGAATTGCCTCATTAAGATCCAGGTCCGGTCATGAGGTGGTTGCTGGTTCAAGTCCTACTCTGCCACTTACACTGCCACACCCAGATACTGAACTGCCTGCTGTCCTTTAGATGAGACAGTAAGTTTCTAATTTACTTCCTGGTCTCTGTTCAGTCAGTTCAGATACAACTTTCTACTAAAACAATTGGGATGCCATTTATTTATGCAGTTTAGAGCACATTGGAATGCACATTTAAAAATACTTGAAAAGTATTCATTTGATGAGGGAAAAATTAATTAATCTTCTGTGAAGAAATTATGCATTTTAGTTCATCAAGACTCGTGATTTAAAATGAACTTTGTAGTCTAAAAAAAAACACACAAAAGAAAAACCTGCATTAGGACAGAAAGCCACTAACTCAGCACTGTCTGGCTGCTAGAGTCCAACACTGCCTTTGCTGCAGATCTCAAAGCACACAACTTGGGAATTTTTTTCAGGAAATATATGAATTAATTCTGTCAATTGGGTTTATTTTGCATAGTCCTTGATGAATATAAAATTAATACACAATAGGGAATAAAATTAAAGAAATAGTAATCAAACTGTAAGTCACATGGACTGATTCATTCAGGCTTGCTCCACTGCATATTAAAAGGATACATTTGAAAAACAAGTTATTTTTTGGATCTAGATATACAAAATGTGATTGTCCTGCAGATGTCATTCTGATGAGTACTGCAGCACAGTTTATGACAGTTCTGCTGCAGGTCTTTTCCACAGAAGTTCAGAAAGATGAAAACAGTCAAGGCAAGGAACGCTCGGTACATTCCCACATCACACAAATTCTTACTGAGTTTGATTTAACTCCTGGCAAGGCTTTATTTGGAATTTTGAAAGAAAAAGATCGCGAAAGGATGCTGTAATTTCCTCACGTAATTCCTTAGAATCAAACCCTTTTCTAATATCCAAAGATCCAACTAAGCAAAAGTTTTGTTACTTTCCAATTTTGCTTCAGAAGCAAAGCGTCAAAAAACAAACAAACATGTACATGAATTTACCGTGACCCAGGTGAATTACTGCTGTGTAAAAACTATATTCTAATCTCCAGCCGCTAAGAGCACAAAACCGTACAGCTCAAGCTATTCACCTTGAATGAATTGACCTTATCTGGAGTTTCTTGGGGAAATCCGTCTCTCGTGTGGCTCCACACTGACAGGGACACCCCCCCACACCCCCCTCACCAGGTGTGCCACTCTTACCCTCAGGTTATCGTCCGTACGTCCGCTGCGCTCTCCCTTCCAGCTGAGGGACAGGGTGAAAAGAGGGGACACCTCCGAATAGCGAGGGTTGAGGACCACCGCAGCCTGCAGCCTGGCTGAGGGGGGAGAACACAGCGTGTGAGGATTCCCGCAGTCCCAGACCGCCTTCGGGATGCTCCCTGCACTTTTCCTCAGGTTTCCCCAGCCACTCCTATAGGGCACCTTCCTCATCGATCACAGGGAGGCAAGAAGTCACAGTGCAGGTCGGGGGGTTTTAAAATAATTTTCATACCCGCCGCCCTCCAGGGAGACAACAGCATTCCTGTCTCATTCCCTCAGCTTGTTAGCCCTATTCCCCAAGCACTGGACTGGGTCCCTTAGGTAGGTTTGTACTAAAAAACCTGTAACTAAATTTCTCTTCCATATTTGATTGATTGACCAATTTGATTGACTCGCAGCTGGGCTGACACTGGGGAGGTGTCCCAGGTGCGTACGAGGGGCAGACGAGCTGCGGTGCGGTGCAGGGCCTGCTCACCTGTGCCCCTCTCGATGAGAGCCATGAAGTACAGGTCTGTGTCCTGGGCCAGCCCGGCCTCCACGACGTGCCGGGTGAAGGGCAGCTCCTGGGATTGGGCACAGAGAGTCACTGACTGATTCCATGGATGGTCTCACACCTCGTCTTCAGCTTAGTCACCCCCCCCACAAAACCATCCTCTTCAGCTTCCTCACACTACTAGCTGCACCACGCCGGTCTCGGCACAAGATCTCAGGCCAGAGTTCTTCCCTCCTCTGCTTCCCTTTACCTCACTGAATAAGAGCTCAAGTGTGGAGGAAACCAAAGCTTATTCCCAACTTTCTGACACACAGGCAGAGTGGAAAACACAGAAACTACTGCAAGGGAGCTGTCAAAAAACACAAGAATGGAGTGGGCAGACACTGGCAGAGTGCCTTTGATAAGTACAACGGGATCCCCACAGGACCTCACAATACACACCACGCACATCGCCTGGGCGCTTCTGAGCTGCAGCAAGCTCCGTGCAGATTCTCCCAGGGGCTCAGGAAAACAACGTGGGCAAGCAATAAAAAAAAAGCTAGCAGAATTCTCTAGATAGTAAAATGGGTGGAATTTAAATCAAGCCAAGTCACAATCATGCTTCACAATGCACTAGCATAATTTAATTAAAAGAATATTATGTTTAGATTCAGCCAGAAAAAAACGCTACAACTTCCAAAAATGATACACCTTTACAGCTAATAAAATAGCAACATGGAGCCTCAGGGGATTGTCATATTCAAGCAAGCTTGAACTGCATCTCTTCAATTTTGAAAAAAGATGACAGGGGATATTTGATCCGAATATACAAAAAATCCTAAGCAGTACTTGTCGACCCAGGGGACTATTTCAGACAGCTGAAGTGAAACAAGGACACTATCACAACTGGAAATAAAAGGGTGTTGCAGGTCTCGGCAACAGCACTGCAACCGTTTTCAACAGGTTTGCAATACAAATCAACCTGGGCTAGGGCCAGAAGTACAGTAGTCTTCTAACTAGGGGATTGCAGATCACTTGCAAAACGGCAATTTTGAATTTTAATACCAACGCCATCATCAACCCCACCTGAGAATCGATCGCAGCTTTGATCTCCAAAGACAAGAGCCCAGGGAGCGAGAGCTGTTGCTGCTCCAGGAGGAAGAATCAGATTCTGCAGCAGATTTCCATTCATGTTTCAGACGGACAACTACTCACCACGTAATCCTGGTAGGTCGTGGTGGTCCACCTGGCCAGCCGGGAGACGATCTTGGCTGGGAAAAGGTGCTGGCACTCTCCGGACACGGGCAGGATGCTGTGCTCTGGAAAGCAAGGGCAGAAACAGGCATCATCCCCCCTGCAACAACGGCAGTGCGTCTCCCAGAACCACAGCCTGCGGGCTCATCCAGCCCCCCAGCGCTCCTTCGCCACCCCTGATCACTGCACAGTTTGTGCCAAGATGACACGTGATGCCCGCACCCAAAAATACTCTGTGCAGCACAGGAAGAAATGCAGAGGAATTACCTCAGATTTGGGGCTAATTGTGATTTTAATACAGCTGTTATTGGCTATAATCACAATTATAACAAATCGGTGTTGAAATGCAAATACTGTGACATCAAATTATCATTTTACTTTTACAATAACATAGGTCTATGTCTGCAACCTAACACAATTATCCTGATTTGCAGTACATATATACAATTAATCATTTTGTGTCTGTGAACAAAAGACAAAAATGTAGTATAACGGACCAGTAATAGGAATTTAAAAGTATATTTATATAAGCATGCAAATTATGAATATTACACAATTCTAAACAATCCCCTGAGGGCTGCTCATTAGTTTTAGGAGAGGATTCACTGCACAGTGCCTAAATCGAGCTTCCCCTATGATTTACTACCCATTGTCCCTTCCCGGCAGTGATTTCTGGAGAAGTCTGTTGTTAACGCCCAGCTGCTAGTTCAGTCAGCATAAGCGGATCTAAGATGGATCAAAGTTAGTATGATCACAAACGACAGAGGGCTGGCTGAAACACAGGTGAAGAGTGAAACCGCAGTACTGTAGTTTATCAAGGCCCCTTACATCAGCACACAGCTCTCTCACAGGTCTTGTTAATGGAGGGCTCATCCATCACAAGACTTGCTTGTTCACCACCACTGCGGGCCATCTGTCTAGAAACTTCATTTGTACGAACAAATTTAAAGACCGAAATTCCAAAAGAATTTGCTCCTACAAAAAAAGGCAGTGACCACAGGATATCACTGACAGGAAACTTTGTGCAAATTCTAAATGGACTTGACAAAACCAAAGGGAAACCAGAAAACGTACAATGTTTGAGTTCCCCATAGGGGTTAGTCTGGTAATTATCAAGGTCTAGATCTTGGGGGATTTCTTACAGCTCCCCTTTTCAAATTGTTGTTATGATTTGCTCAATGGCATGTATGAACATTTCTCAGCTTCTACAGCTGCTTAAACTGTGCAATTAATTCAGAGGAGCACAAATCACAATTTTTAACCCTGGAAAGCAGTATTAAACACGCACAGTGCATTAAACATCTAGAAAGGTAAGAGAGAAAAGGACATCTAGAAAACACTACAGCAACTCCAGGAGAAGGAGGCAAGATTCTCTGCCTTTAAAACAGTCTGGAGAGCTGCTGAAGTTATCATAGAGGCTTGTATCAACTGAGCAATTGAAGGCTCAGGAACAACAGAAGACATGAAGTGTCTGAAAGAACTGAGTGAGGCCTGGTCAACCGATCACAAGCAGCAAAGAGCTCACCCAGAGAAGCAAACTGCTTGTGCAGAGCCAGCCGGGACTGCAGGCGGTTCCTCAGAAGCTTCATGGTGGTCTCCATGTGACTGGCGCTGAGAGAGCTCCCTCTGGAGGTTGATCGCTGTTAAAACAAAGTCTCTCGTCTTGATCTTGATGCGATAAAAAGACTAAACTGAAAATTTGAAGCGTTTCGCCAGCACAAACACAAAAGCAGGCAGAACCCTGGGCTATAAAGTGAAGTGGAAAAGAGTGGCTTCTACCTTGGTTTTGCCACATGGACAGAAGAAAATGCAATGCTGGAAGACACTGTAAAGGCTTAACCAAAGAACAGTGAGAATAACTGCTGGTGTGTACATCAGGCCAACGGCCCCCTCTCGTCTTTTACAAAGGGGAAGCACAATGGGATGAGGAAGCATTAAAAATAGTTCATTCTGGAGAGTGTTATGGGACATACATGCGGGATACAGCACAAACCCATGTCAGCTTTTCTGAAATGCAGTGAATGCAAAGGACGGCTGTGCTGAGTGGGCTTTACCTCTGGTCTGTCTGTAGGGAACTGCAGGCCACCCAGGTTCTGTACCCAGATGTAGGGGTGACCCAGCTCTGCCACGTAGTCGCCAAACGTCAGGATCCTGCAGAGAGACGGACACTGATCAGCCAGTGACAGGGAATATAAGATTCCTGACTGAGGTACTGCAGCCCAACGATGGGCATGTCCACATATCTGACAGCGAGAGGTAGCCAGACACTAACATGAACTCTGTCGTCTGACTCCAGGTGCATCCTTAATTGCAATCTATTGTTTTCAAGTGGCTGAAGCAATTAAACTGTGGGAAAAAATATCAACGTTTTAAAGTGATAGGCAGAAAAAACATTTACCAATAACAATAGCACCGTTTTTAATACTTCAATAACCAATTTGCATGCTGGCGTTTCCAATAGTGGCATTATCTTTCATTTTGACTGCCTCAAAAGGTACCAAATCCTCCTTCAAAATGTCTAATTATGCACCCGAACTGTGTTCATTTTACTTTGCATTTGCAGTTGCTGCTGGGGAGATCACCCCCAAACTCCAAGCGTGCCTCCTGCACTGGAGACAGATGCTCAAAGTTCCGCCAGCTGTCTGATCCAGCTCACACTCTTTTCATATCCTGCCTGTCTGTGCCCCATGGCCGGAGGGTTGGAATACGGTGCCGTACCCCACTTTATCAAACTGGTAGCGATTGGCAGGGTTGGGCGTCTCTGTGCCTTGGTCTCCAGCATAAAGACAGCTCAGCAGAGTCTCCGGGTTGAGCAGCTCTCTGCAGACAGATACCAAATGGAAAGATTAGGAACTTATACACACACACCAGACCGATCCTCCAGAACAGCAGCACGCAGACTGTACCTGCATGGTTATCAAGGGTGTGATACACACTCCGCTAATGTAACACTGTAAAAATCATCCTGTTTAACAGCCCAGCACATGTAAGATCACTCCAGTTCCTTCCTACAGATGAGCCTCAGTGCATGGCGAGACATGTTTATGGTTATTGAAATTAAGTATTAAATGAATGTTATGGATGACTAAAAATGGTACTTGGCGCAAAGGTCATGGAGATCTTACGTCTACAAGTTGAAGCTGTGATGTGTCGTCCTTGGGAGAGGAAAAAAAAGTTCTGCATCTGACAAATCAGTTGTAACCCCACTTAACCAGTAAGTAAAGGTTTGGAATGCAAAATTAACTAACACACATGCTCAACTGGAGGGCAAGTTTAATCATAGGCCAGATGCTAACAGTTTGTTAAGTGTTGCTAGGGTCATTTGGGCTTCAGATAGCCAAAGCTTTCCTCCGTTTGCAATGCAAAAGCTACCCCTGAATCTGGCAGGGCACTTATGAGCTTACATTGCTGTCCGTGGGAGTTACAATGTTGATAAGAACCCCAGCTGATCATGCAGTTATGAAGATCACTGCTGTAAAACCAATCTGATTAATTTTTGCAAATGAGAAGGGGATATAAAAATGGTAATTCCAAATTTGCAGAATGAAAAAAGAACAGTTTTTAAAACCCTTCACCCTTGTGCCACAAACCAGCAGTAACTCACACACTAAAATCTGGCACCACAAACAAAACAGGCATCACACACAAAAAAAGGAACTGTTATCTCAACAGATTAAAACCATCACTGCTGAAAACATAAGAGCTCAAATGCTGAATGAGTGAACGGCTTACGCACCAGCTCACACTGTGTGCCATTGTGTTCAACACAGATATACTTAACTCATATTCCCTTGTAGGCCTGTTTTCCTACGTACAGAAGAAACAGCACACATGCAATAAAAAACAGAAGACGAGAAACAATAAAAAAATAAGGCTGGAATCCATCTCAAGACATGAGGCCAGAGAAACCAGGAGGCCTTTACTCTCTCAATGATATAAACCCTTATGGTCAGCCAGCCTTTCACTGTTGCTCACTGTACAGAAAGGCAGAGTACAGTAAGCATGAGAACCAGAGGGCATCTCGGATCAGCTCTTCTGCCTGGAGACAGCTGTGACTGCTTACCCTGCACTGATGGCTCCTGGCAGCTCTGTCCCTGTGGACACTTTCGCCTTCACTGTCATGATATTCAGATTCATCAGGTAGTAGAAGAAGAGGTGGAGCACACTGCCATCTGCAGAGAGAGGGAAGGAGGGAGTGAGAGTGACACCACCACACAGAAGAGCCAGCACGTCTTTGCTGTATCTTACACTATCGCCTGACGGTAAGCTGCAGGACTGCTCTTTCAGAGCACTTTTTTAACACTCAGCAGACTTCATTCTGACTGGCTTGGTATATTGATAAACATCACTGGCAAACTTTCTCTCAAGTGGAAAAGCCCTGAATGACACACACATGAAGTAAGTGATGGACAGACGCCTGGTGTAGAACGCTATCACTTTGTTTAGAGACACCTTCCACTTGTTTTTCTCAAAAAAATAAACAGCAGCTCCTTTGTCTTCATATAAAAGAGACAAACAATGTCAAGCAAATGAAGTGGCAAAAGCAGAGAACACATCAAAATGACTCTGCCATCACCCGGCACAACAACATTTTATTTTACATGTGAGAACTGTGCTGGACAAAAAGCTCATCTATTCCCTTCACAGGCTTTTACAAGTTACAAATCAACAGCTTTGATGCTATTATGCCTTGGAGGATGTGAGTTTATACTTGTCTGCATCAGTCTAGATCTTCAATGGAAGGTCAGACTGAATTTCAAGTTGTGTTGCCTATGTGAGCATAAACAGGGAAAAAAGAATAGCAGTAAAGTAAAAGTACATTTGGGGATGTATTGCAAATATTTTTATATGTGTCCTGTGCAGCGCCACTACCTGAAATATATACCCTTTTGCAGTTATGTCTGAACTTCTAATAGTGAATTTAAGGGTTGCAAAAATAAAAAAAATATTCCTTTGTGATACAGCCAGAATACAATAGAAAATGTGCATTTCTGCAATAGCTTACCAAAGGCCTTTTGTAAACCCACAAAAAAAAAAGAGCAGGCATTCTTTTCATGACCATATCTGCATTCCTGCAAGTTCTCAAGAGCTGAGATTTTTTTATTTTAATGCAGAGTCAAATGCTGCAGAAGCTCTGCTGCTGCCAGGGCCTGATGGATTGCTGTGTGCAGCAGTCTCAGCAGAGCTGTGCAAGAAAAGCACCAGGCAAGAGCCGGAGCAGGGCCAGAAGCAGCCAGCGAGGATAGAGTTACGCCTGCAATGCAGAGCTCCCTTCCTTGCTTTGGCTGACAGCACATGGAGAAAACAACACTCAGGCTGCACTGCCACACACTAGGTGGGAATCTCCCATCTGGGAGCTTTTTTCTTCATATTCAATGCAGAAAATCAAAAACCAAAGATGTGTTATGAACATCAGTGCTGCTTAAACTGTCTTATCCTTTGCTTTACAGTGTCCTCAGACATGATTTGAGGTGAACAGAAGTCATCAGGTTTCACTAGAAAAATCACATCACTGTAGCAAAAAAAGGATGAAGTTAATAGGTTCCCCTGTAAGGGGGGGACTTCTGATTACACCCAAACCAGCAGATGTTGAACTACAATCAGATGAGCTCACTTTAGCACAGAAACCAAGAACCTGCCAATGTCACTAACATCCTTCCAGCCCTCCTCTGCTCACCTTTACACTTGAGGTCCACGCAGACCGACAGGGGGTGACGTTTCAGCATCTCTCGCCGCTTGTCATCCAGCTGGACGCCCAGGGTGGGCCGCCTTCGCTTCTGCAACCAATCAGAACACAGCGCTAAGATCAGAGCTGGGCGGTCCGGGGTCAGGTAGGGAAAAGCAGAGACAAACTCACCACCCCTGAAAGGGACAAATATCCTTTTAGAAAGGCTGAGCAGCAGGTGAGGAGTACGTGGCTAATTCCACTTGCTTAGTGACCGAGAGGTCCTAGTTCAACATGAATGGCCAGTACACATAACTTAAAACAATTCTGACCAACCCGCACCTGCCAAAGTATTAATGACTGAACAGGACCAATGTTAAAGGAAAAATCCTTTACTTAGTGTGGAGAGAGCCTGGATTTTTAAAAATACAGGAAACTGATGCGTTGTGGGATACCAAGGATGCCATGACTCAGCACCTTATAGTTCTGTAGCATCGGATTCAAAGAGTGGAATTATAATGACATCTAGTGGTTATCTCTTCTACAGAAGATTGAATGCATTACGCATGTATGCATCATTACAAGGAGGACAGAATGAATCAGGTGAACCAGCACAGGAAACAAAATTAAAAATTAAGTTTACTAATTAGCATTTATCATATTTCTTGATAAAGCAATCTAGGTGTTCAGTACTGGAGACAGGACTAAATTTAGGAAAAGTGCTTGACAAGTGACAACTTTTTTTTCTACAGTGTAACAAGTTTACCACAACTTTCTATCTAGACCAGGAGTTTTATAAGCAAGACAGAATTCAGCTGATAACTTTTCACTCCTGTAGAACCAATTCACAGTGCCACTGAAATTCCCTGGCATTCTGCAACAGTGTTCCTAAACCCACATTAATTACTCTGCAAAAGTTTGTTTTCACACACCATGTAACACTTCAGGGCTAGCCATTTTGCAATAGGAGTACCAAACATTTGTTATGAATAGCAATGCTTCATGAACAGGAACTCTACCTGATGGTTCTTAACCGGGGGTGTAACCCTTTCTGGGGTTATGAGATATGCCTGATTTTTTTAGAAAATAATCAAAAACGCAAGTAAGAACAACTAAACTGTTTCATCACACACTGGCTCACACTCACCGTATTTTGTTCTTCTTCTGCATCAGAATCACTCTCATCGTCTGGAAGAGAAATATTTGTCACTTCAGGAGAAACATGGGGATTAAACTGCAAATCTGTGTCCAGTTCTTGTACGAGTACAAGTTTTGTTTTAACATAAATTAATGTTCAACGCACTACAGATGGTTTAGAACTGCTTAGCACAAATAACATGCTAACAACTAAACAACGTAAAAAAATATGGTAACACAAGAATAAGCGTCCTAGTTTTAAGCCATTTTCTCCAATGAAGCAGGCAAGCTGCTGCAAGGAAGCTAGAAAGGGAAAAAACAAACAAGCCACTTGTGAGCTCGTTTAATAATCCAGTCACTACAGTTACCACTACAGAACTTTACACTGGGAGAGACAGCTTCTTATTCCATTGAAGTAACTGTCAGAAACGAACAGGAATCCTGCAATGGAATATTAAAGCTCTTGTTCACAAGCAGTGCCTGAAATTCTGCCTGTCAATAACAAAGGAAGGCCTGGCTGACTGGCAGTATAGTGATGCAAAGTTATAACTACAAAACTGTCCAATTTCACTGCTACCATGTTCCTTACTGTACTCCTACAGTAGTGAGGGCACTGCAGTGCTGCTCTCTCTGGTACAGGAGTTCTTCACTGCCCTCTCTCCATAATGGGAGTCTTAACTCCCCGTTTATTACTGTAAGACATCTTACGTGCCTTGAGCACAGTAGGACAGCAACACTGGAGATGCCAGCACTGATAAATAAAGGAGACTTTGCTGTCTCACCACGCCTGAGCTGTGTGGGTGGTTGCATGCCAATGGGTGGCTGTAGGGAAACACACTCACCCAGGGAGTCCTCAGGGGGCTTGGAAAGAGCCTTGGCTTCGTCCACATCCCCACTGATGGACACAGAGAGGTTCTTGTCTGAAAGGGACACAAAAACAAGAGGTCTAAATTCACCAAGCTGTATTAGCATGACTAAAATTTAAACTCCACACAGGCAGCACCTCCGGCCCAGAACTGAACCCCAGGCCCCAGCACTGCGCCAAATCCTGTCCCCTTAACCGGTCCTGGAAAATTAGTTTATAAACTGAGACCTTTCTTTACCATGAAAAGCATATCACAGTACTATAATACTGTGATAGTGAAAGAGTGAAGTTTCTGCTCACCACAGGCCTGGCCAAACGCATTGACCTGAACCAGGAGCACATAGAGAGGCGGGGGCAGATGGCGCGCCACTTCGTTCTGCTTCTGCGTCTGCTCAAAGGGCATGGACAGGTACTCCTGGACCGGCAGCGAAGCCTGGCAGAGCAGAGAGAAAGTGAGAACAGGATCAGAGGTCGAGAAACTCCCCATCCTCAGACCTCAGTGTGGCTTTGGAGAACCCTTCATTCAACATGCAGAATCTTAAAAATAACAGCCATAGAGCAAATTAAAATTGGTATAATACAGCACAGTATGATTTTATCCTTTTTCAGATCATGTCATCTTACAACATTTTATGAACAGAAGCAAATAAATTTGAGGTTGAGCCCAAACAAGAAAACATTGAACTGGCACCTACAGTTATTTGAACAGCTCTGCAAGAGGTACGCCAACTACATGCAGTCATGTTCCAGATGGGGGCAGGCGATTCGGCTTATTCATGGCTCGGTTACCCAACGCAGGAACAGAGGGGCCAAGGCTGCCCTCTGGAGCTTACCTGCATGATGGCGTTGAGGCCTGGCTGCAGGCTGCTGAGGTACTCCTTCTTTATCTCGATGTTCTTCAAGATCTTCTCCTTGCTGGACAGGGAGTCCTTGTATTTCTCTGCCAACCTGCAGGGTAAAGGCAAGGGCAGAGATGAAACAGATATGCCACAGAGAGGCCTCCCATTCAAGATACAGCTCCCTAGCAGTGCTTTCACAACTCAGACATTTTGCAGCTAGCTAAAGAACACACAGACATTACACTGACTTAGGTTTTTCTGTTGTATGTAAATTGTGAGATGAGGGGTAGTCATTTTATTTACTTTTTTACACTATCTTGTATGCATTAGAAAGCATGCTGCACATCCTGGCTTTTTACTGATTGGTTTGCCTTTATTTAATGTCTTGAGCCAAAGGCATTTCTTAATTACTAATGTTTCCCACCCCTGTGTGTGAGGCCTGAGGATTTATGGGATGGAAGATTTGTGCAATAAAGAATCCTGATTGCATCAGTACATTTGTCTAACATGGCTTTGTAGGTTCAGGATATGTTTTGCCCCGCTTCCTTATGAGTGAGGACCGACTTTACTTGAGCAAAAAGCATTCAGAGCAAGTAGCAGATCGAGCCGCTGGCCAGCCCTGAGCTGTCCCCATGTACCTCTTCCTCTGCTCGAGCTCCCAGTCCAGACGGGCCAAGGTGAGCTGGTGAGGGTCTTCCCTGGTGAGGTTAGGGCGGGAGATCTCTTGGGGGGCCTCCTTGAAGAACTCCTCCACGCTGACCAGCTCGATCTCCTCGTGCTTCGATCTGGAGGAGGGAGGAAACAGGGATCTCAAACTCCTCTCTGATAATCACACGTGTGGGAGTTATAGTGAAGATCTGGGCAAATCTGTCACCTCAGTGGCAATGAGATATTCATAGTTTTTGTATTGCTGAGTTGATCTGAACTTCCCGACATTGTTACAGTGACACCAAAGAAGTTGTTCTTAAGTTTCCAGTATTTTCAAAGCAAGATTTCCAAAGACTCTCAGTCAGATTGGTTTATATTTCTTTGTTTTGTTTGGTTCTCTTTTCCCCCTCCCGAGAACTTGGGCACTCACTTGAACTCCAGGCACTTGCTGATCTCTTTCTGCAGGTGCATCACCTCATACAGCAGGTTCTGTAGCTGGAGGTGAAGAGCATCCACTCTCTGCTTTGCCTGGACAGGACAAGGAAAGAGGGAAAGAGCGAGAGAGAGTGGAGAGAGGTAAGTCTCATGAAAGCTCCAGGACTAAAAGAAACCCAGAAGATCAGCACTCATGTGGGTGAGTGACAGGACCTGCACAATACTGAAGAAAACAATTCACACCTTGGTGAACAGGATTTCATTATTTTGAAAAGTGTCATTTCATTCTCTGTACCGTTTTTTCTGGGAGGAATGTTAATAAGGCTGGGAAGGGTGATGTTTTCTTACTGACACTGTAGACTGGAGATGACCAAGTCAATCAAGCAATGTCTTAGGGAAAATAAATGTTCTTGGCAACCTAGGAAAAGAATTGTTTGCACTTCCGTTAGCTTATTAATCAATCAAGTTTAACACTTTCTGATTTTTTTTACTTGACCTCCTATTAAGTTCAAGTGATCATATCTTCCAATCAATTTGAGTGACTGCGGTCAGGAAAAGCCCTGTCACCCCCAAGAACAGGAACGTAAGGCAGCCGCACCTCGTGGGTCTGATCCCTGGCTTTCTTCAGCCTCATGTGAGCCAGCCGGTTCAGCTTCTTCAGGGTCATGAAGTGGATGCACCCCATCATGCGCTTCTCTTCAATCTCTGCCGACTGCAAGACACAGGAGGAAAAGAAACAAATAGAAAATCAGCTCTTGTGGCTGTCAACAGCAGCTCCTGCCACTTCCTGCCTGGACGCATTCCGTAAGAGGGAACAGAGTAGGGAGGCCCAAAGTGTGATGCTTGGAAGCTGCAATTCTGAAGACTTTGCTTTCCACCACAAAACCCCAGCATTGCAGAATTCAGCCCCGGCCAACTCCTGCTGCCACGCAGGTGGATCAATTAAGGCAGCAGCTCCCAGCCCTCTCCTGGGTGCCCACTGTCTCTTCTGGGGTTTGCAACACTCCTGCACTTCATCACAGACGAATCGCTCAAAGTGTCAGAGTGTGAGATGTCGCACTATGGCTCACATTGTCCTTGCTGCCACTGGTCTTCAGCTCGTTGATCTCAGCCATGAGTTTGGCCAGGTCCTGACAGGTCTGCTTGTACAGAGTGTAGTCCTGGTTGGTATCCCTGCTCTCCAGCTCCACCTCCTCATTGTACACTCTCACGTCCTGCAGCACAGCAAAATAACCAGCGATTAGGGCTCACGTGGAGAGTCGTAGGTTCAGGCCCCTGTGGCAGAAACCCCCCCCGGAAAAAGTAAGCAAGGCGCAACCTGATTACTCCAGTTCACTCAGCTGTTGTAAATGGGACTGAGTGGTTCAAGGCCGCTGACCCCATAAGAGACCATGGTAGGTCATGCGATTTATGGCTCACACCCACAATCACAGCCCAGCCTGCCGGCTGAGCCCTTCAGGAGGCACAGAGGGTGATTTGTACCACCGATAGTGCTCTTATGATCACAACTGTAAGTAATGCTTCAAAATAAAGACCCCAGCTGAAGCAGGAAGGACACACTAATGGGCAGGCACTCCTGGGATCAAAATGGCAGACTACATGCTACAGTGGGACACCACACTGTTGACCTAGTACAGGAAAGTCATATTGTAGCAAGATGCTCATTATAGCAGGGTTGCCTTTCTTGCACTGTAGCTGTAAAATCTATGATCAGACAATCTCAATCAATCCGCTGGTGTGTTCACAGTCTCAGTGCCAAGTCCTTCTCTGACTGCTGATACAGCCCAGCCTGCTTGCCCAGAAGGCAGACTGCCATCTACTGCATCATGAGTGCCACTGCCATTTGATTCGACAGTTCCAGTAGCGACCCTCACCTGGTCCCCCTCTCCCCTATTGCGTTTTGATTCTGGGGTACCCTCATTGCGGATCACTTTGGGCTTCCTCTTCTTCAGGGTGTCGGCCGACATTTGCAGGCGATTCTAGGAGCGCTCCTGGTGAGAGGGTAGAAGAGGGGGTCAGCAAGGTATATGTAATGGACTGGCCGTAAGTCCCAGCTGAAGTAAGATGACCACAAAACTGAAAGCTCAGGCTTTATCTTACGAGGAACCTACACACACCTGCAACAGGACACTGCTGCGGTCACCTGCAGGGGAGGTCCTGACTACTTGATCATTAAAGAATCAATGGGACTGTTCAGAAGAGTAATGAAGGCTTCGCTCTTAATTTAACTGAACTCATTTCTCTCCCTCTAGTAGCAATGGGGCTACAAGCACATACTGTAGCGTAACTGGCTACTACACTTCAAAGGTCACTAAGTGGATCCCCATCTATAGCAAAATGGTTTCAATTCCTTTGAGTTAAATAAAACTATCCAATAAGTAATTTTTTGGCCTGAGATTTTTTAATTACTGACTTTAACAATTTAGTTAATGGCATGTATTAAGTCTTAAGCAGCCTGTTATTGTAAGACCTAAGGAATGTCTACAGAAATCCGATCCTTATTGGCTACAGTTACTTATCCTTCTTTAAGACACGTTAACAGCATGCTTAGCTAATTCAATTCACCAATTCCAGGCAAGTTCTTACAGGAAGAGCAGATGGAATTGTGCTGTTAAAACGCAAAGACGGCAGAAAGAGGTACACAGGAGGTCTCAAGCTGCACATATAAAAATCAACAGTGAGGACGATATAAGAGCAAGTGCCCTGTATCTTTCACTAGTTTAACACATTCCCAGTTGGTTTTAGAGTCCTGAACGTGCGAACTAGTGACCATTGTGTACATAGTTATAAAGAAAAAGTACAAATGGATTTAACAAGGACTTCAAAAAATATATATTAGAAACGAGTTAAGCTTCGGTAGCTCACAGTACTGACAAGTACAAACAACGGGACATCAAAGTAAAAATAAAAGGAGTGTATCGTTATAACTGATTTTGTTAATACTGCTAAAATCGCATCCACGACAGTTCACATAATCACCCGAGATGATCACCGTCTTGGCTTTCTGTTTTCAGGAACAACGCACATAACAACTCGCAAACATAAATTAATCTGCAAGTCGTTTTATAGATTTTATCTCCTGGGCAGGGAGTGTAAACAAGGTACAAAGGCTCTTCCTTAGCAGCAGCGATCAATTAAAATGCTTCGACTCACAAGTTACAATACGCGTACAGAAGAAAAAGCCGTTTGCTTATCGCAGACTTCAAACAGCCATACATCAATGCACCGTTAAATCATGCACTCACCAACCTTATTCACAAATTCGGCAACGAAAGGCTCTGTATTTTTAAAACAACTAAAAATAACATTTCATTCACTAAACACAACACTTACCCTAAACTCCCCCCCCAAAAAAACATGGAGGACTTTAACTTTGACCTCTGACCCGGATGGGGATCCCGGGGCAGCGCAGTTACCTTTCCGGCCGAGAGGGGGCGGAAGAGAGAGATCAACAACATCAAGGCGTAGGTAGAGTTTACTTGAAAGGTAATGTGTGGTAAGTTTATTAACAACAGAATTTATACACGTGCTGTCAGTCTCATTCCCTTTTAGGAACACATTAGTAATAAAGTGAAGATAACTTTGCAATCGGAGTAAACCGAACTTTTAATCTACTTCTTGTATTCCTCTATAGTTCAAAGTACAGTTAGGGTTTAAATATGTTTTGCTCATTATATTTTAAATAATGCAGGGAACTTGAAATGGAGGCGAATAAACTGTCGTGAATTATCTTTTAGAAAAAGCACACGTAAATTTCATTTAATTATAGACCAACGTGCCGAGCTTGATAATGTAGAAAGAATGTGTTTTTTTTCTTACATACGCTGGCGAAATAATTAAAAATGATTGTAAATCTCAAGACAGCCAATAATAACATTATTATCCTTCGTTTTTGGATAGCCACTGATCCCTATTAAGCCCCAGGTCCGTGAAGTTGCCTCCCGACACACACGCACAAACGATGAAACCCATTCCCGCATTCCTTAAAGAACGCAAGGAGAATCTTGTTGTTTTTTTCTGATTTATAAAATGAAAGAGCTACGAAGTATTGAGATGTACTAGTTAAAGGCTTTTTTAAAGAATATGCAGTTGCTCGCTAATGTTCGCTTTTTAAGGCTACACCTGCAACTCTTGAGGGTATGATATTGAAGACAAATTAAATTTTTCTGTTCACACAAACGCACAGAAGATACTGGTGTTAATGCAAAATCTACCGCTCCCCAACCGGGCAAACAGAAACACAATTGCAGAATTGTTACTCTCGCACCAGTAACAGCGCTTGAACTCGGCAGACGGGGTCACTGGAGGTCAAAGTCACCGTGCATGGTCACTTGATCACCCGAAAAACAAGGCGCTATATTTTGGGAACGAAAGCAGCACAAATGCAGCACTAATGAATGTTTCATCGATGTTTCATCGTTTGTGCTGTTTGTTGGGAGGGCAACTTAACGGAGCTGAAAAAGCTGAGTCTATCCTGCTGTAGTGACATGCAATAAGCACTCGTAAATAAACATCAGCACCCTTTACTGTGAATTAACGAAGACGGATGACAACAGGTTCTCAGAAGACAGCTCAGTATGCTTCCTCACATTCACTTCACAAGCAGGGGCAAACGACTGGCAGGTCGTTTGTGCTGCAGGTGCCTGATGGCCGCGCGTGTCCTGAGGCTGGCCCTGGCTGGGCGGCCAGCGGCAGGGGCCTGGAGCCGCAGGGCGAGCAGAGGGAGCTCGCACCTCACCGCTCCGCGGGGCCGCACAGAGGCTCCGCAGGAGGAGGAGCGGCCTCACTTCTCCAGGTCCTCCATCGGGAGCTTCTTCCAGGAGAGGCCCCAGCTCAGGAACCCCTTTCTGCAAGACGCTCTGCTCCAGGGCTACCTGAGAAGACACCTCCCTGCTCAGGTGGGCCTGGTTTTACTTCTCCTTGACCACTTTATAGGCATAGACAGGAGAAAACCCTTATCCACAGACTTTCAAGACACCAGTCGACTGGTACTTCTGCTGCCTGTCTGACCTCATACACAGCCTGGCTCGAAACGTCTTTTCTCAAAACCTTGATGAGCTGTTAACATTCTGCTCCTCAAAGAAGTCGGTGGCAACGTCATTTTATTGCTGCTTAATAGATACCTGTACGTATTCTGGTATGTGCACTCACCATATTTGACTTTTAAGACTTCATTGTGAGGTGACAAATTAGATATAGTGCAAAACGAAATCTGATCAGATGTCGTTAAAAATGTAACGAAGAAATAATTTTTGGAAGTAGACCCATATAGGAATGCAGTGTTATTGTTTTCCATGCCACTCGTGGTCTGTGAAACTACTCCAATCTCAATATGGAAGCTGGTTTGGATTAGCTTATGATATGCTTATGTTAAAACTGTCATGCTTGCTCCCACCGGAGCACGACAGGACGCGCTAGGATCAACACAGCAACCGACGGAGCCTCAACAAGACCTGTCAATCAGGCGATTGCCGTGACTACGAGCTCTGGTTAAAAATCTGTTCCACCCGTCTGTAGTTAATGACCACACTGCCCTCACTGGGATCTGTCAATATTAGACCAGTCTCTCTGCGCTCAGTCTTAGAGTTTCAGTTATTAGTTTTGGCATTCTCAGCTCTGCTTATACTTTCAGGTTTTTGGCATCTCTTGACTTTAATTTTGCTTTCGGATTCCCCTTATGCTTTGCCTCTTTATCTCTCAGCTACAACCTTACGTTCTAGACTGTTTATTTCTGCCTGCATGCTCATTATGCCACCCTGCTCTGCCTGCTTGCTGTCCACGCCAGCCTGCCTGCTCTGCCTGCTTTCGGGTTCTCCTGATGCCCCTGGGACACTACTTTCACTCAGGTAGGAATAGCGGCATTACAAGAACAGAATGGGCATGTGTAGTGTATGTGCGTTCCAGGCTGTGAGCGCGGTCGGGGCAGATCTGGAGCGGTTTGGGGAACGGATCTGCAGTGAAGTGGACGCTCTGGGCCGGCAGTGTGAGGAGACCCCCCCCCGCCTGCAACACTGTGACGCCTGGGGTCGGCGAGTTGATCGCATCCTCACCTGCCCCGCCTGGGGCCGCATGAAGGAGATCTCGGCCCAGGAGGGGCTGGTGGCTGCTGGCTACGAGAGGACTTTCCGTGACTGGAGGTAGGGTGACACACACATCTGGTGGTTTCTTGTGCCTGAGTTTTGGAATGGGCATTTGTTAGTTCTCCTCATATGGAGACTCCTAGCACAGTAGAAGGAAAGAAAATATGCAATCACAAATTCTAGTGTCAGGATCTCCTTCTCTGTTCCTGCTGTAAGTTCACAGCATAAACAGCAGGATCCGTTGCAACCCTGAACTGGATGACACAGTTAGCAAATAATAACCCTGTGATTTACAGTATGATCTTGTATTAATCATATGAAACAAAATTACACAGGTAATTAAATGCTTCTATCTTAATGCTAAGATTGTTAGGAATAAAATACAAGACATTGAAGCAACTCCATTGCTAATATCTCTTGTAATTTTGCATGCAATTAGAATGCAATTGGCATCACTGAAACAGCTAACGGAGACTGATGTTGATGAATATAACACTAGTGGATACACAGCATTCTGAAGAGAACAGTGGAAAATTACTCACCACAGATTATACACCACAAAATATTTGTGGACCTCACGGAAACATTGCTTCTCGGAAATCATACAGTGCAGTGTCCAGATGTGTTACTACAAGGAAGTGAATTTAAAACTAAGAACAGGATGCAGTTTTTGACTGAGCAGTTTGTGGGAGTCTGGAACAAGTTATCCAGCATGTTATGAAAGATGATACTGAGCAGTCTTTCACAAAACAGCATTTTCAAGTAGACGAATTGAAGGCCTAAAATGTATATCCTGTATTACAAAAGTAGTGTCAAATTAGGTGGATGATACTGGTGTATATTTCCTTAGCCGTGTTTACCAGATGTCCAAACTATACCTCTGCTCTCCCTCTGCTGGACTCTACACCTGTCCTCTGGCTATGACTGATGGGGCAGCTAAAGTCATTGAGGTCAGTGAACTGCATCCTGTATCGTTTACGCTGAGGTGCCGACATCTTTGCAAACCCACAGGGGCTGCACCCCTTATAAAAAAGGTGACATAGCAAGTTCACATATAGTAATTCTGTATCAAGGTAATAATAATAATTTTTCTGGACACTGCACTCAAAGCACTTTACAGGTAATAGGGATCCCCTCCACCACCAGTGTGCAGCCCCACCTGGATGATGTGACAGCAGCCATAGTGCACCAGTACACTCCCCACACACCAGCTGTCAGTGCGGAGGAGAGCAGAGTGATGCAGCCAGTTCAGAGATGGGGACTATTAGGAGACCATGGCCAGGGGAGAACTTTGGCCAGGACACTGGGGTTAACACCTCTACTCTTTACAAGAAATACCTTGGGATTTTTAATGACCACAGAGAGTCAGGATCTCGGTTTTACATTTAATCCGAAATACGGCACCTTTTATTACAGTATAGTTGCCCCCCTATATTAGGGATTTAAGACCAACACAGACAGCAGGGTGAGCACACCCTACTGGCCAACACTGACACCTCTTCCAGCAGCAACCTCAGCTTTCCCAGGCGTCTCCCATCCAGGTACTGATCAGGCTCACACCTGCTGAGCTCCAGCAGTTGCCAGTTGTGAGTTGCAGGGAGGTATCGCTGCTGCGGACCAATCTGCTGCGTTTATCCTCCAGTCCCTGGGGAAGTCTGGACCCCTGGACAAAGCCTTCCAGCGGCTCACCTCTCGCGACCCTCAGCAGTTCTGGACCTCTGGCCAGTGGATGACAGAGCGGAAGGGGGGCTCTGACGTGGGTAAGGACCACTGACGCACTGTGCTTGACAGCTGCTGCACAGCTGGATGCTGACTGTGGTTTCTAAGCTGCTTTGCCTCCGGAGATGTACAGGTGGTCCAACGACGGCAATGTTCCTCCTGCAGTAACAGAGTAACAGAGATGGGCTTACCTGTGACGCATAGAAGATATTTGGCAATGTCATCATAGCGCCTTATAAAGGGAAGATTCTGAAATGAAAATATGTTGGGCAATCCTTTCATTTTAGTTTTAAACAGATAAGCCAGGAACACAAACCACATTTATATTACTTACAGTGAAACTTCACTGAAAAATGCGGCGTTCATAATTTGCAAGAAGTATCTTGCTCAAGGCTGCAACTGCTGTGTCCCATCTGGGATCTGGACATGTGACCTTCCAGCCCAGAGTATTGACCTCACCAAGAAGGCTAGTTGTAAGAGTAGGATTTAATTTGCCTTAGAGAATTTCTCTCTGCATCATGTATTACATTTTCATTCATTCCTTATGCTCTCTGGAGACCACTGCCAGGAAATACATTTATAACAGATTATCTCGCAAATAACCAGATAAGACCAATGTGCCTCCAGTTTGGATGTAGGAAATGTAGATCAGGGTGAAGCTCTGCCATTCTTATAGGTGAGCAACTCTATCTTTCCTCCCTGCAGCCAGTGGGACGGAGACAGTAGCCCGGCTGCAGCCTGACGGGACCTACAGACTGTACGGATTCAAGTGGTTCACTTCTGCTACCGACTCTGACATGACCCTGACTCTGGGGAGAGTGGAGGACTCCCTTGGCCACACTGTAGGGGTGAATATCTCACATATTTATAAACCTTTTACCTGCTTTTAGGGGCATTGTACTGTACCTTACTGTACTGTACCAAGCGCTTTGAGAAGCCACCTTTAAAGGCGCTATATAAAATAACGTTTATTATTATTATTATTACCTTAACCTGCAAAATACAAAATCAGCATGTTCAATGGCTTTGCCATTTGTAATCTGTTTCTATGGTTCTTTGCCTTTGCTTTCTCACACTTTGAGTAGAAGTCAGTCCTCATCTTCTTCTAAATATTCTGTAAACTATGTCATTTTTACAGACTGAATCAAACTCAGTTAATTGGATAAAAGAATAACGATTGCTTGTCTTTTGACTTTGTAGTGTACTTTCCATTCAGAAGTTTCCTTCTTCTTAGTACCTACTGGAAGCTGCTCATTTCATCCTCCACAGAAAATCACCACACTCCTGGTGACTGGCACTTGATCTATGCAACTTCTCGATGTTTTGCTTTTAAACAGACTTTAATCTGTTATAATTTTGTTTTTTATATCTTTTCATGGCTAAAACAGCTTCTGAAGTCTTGTAAGCCAAATGGCAGGATGGGTATGGAGAAGGTAGAGTAATGTCATGCAAGGTTGGTGGAGCAGTACAAACATCAGCTTTCAAGCTACAAGCTGCTGCTCAGTTCACCACATTATGCTCTCTCGCAGGCAGCTTGGTGGGGTAGTGGTCAGCACTACTGCCTCACAGCGCTGGGCTCCTGGGTTCAGTTGTGGACTTAGGGTGCTGTTTGCGTGGAGTTTGTATGTTCTCCTAATATTTGCATGGGATTTCTCTGTGTGCACTGCTTTCTTCCCACAATCCCAAAACATGGTAGTCTTACTAGGCTATTTAGCTTGTGGGAAGATTAGTTTTGGGTGTGAGTGTGTAAATGTTTGTGTCTGTGTGTCTGCTGTGCGATGGACTGGCGTCCCATCCAGGGTGTGCCTGCCTGCCTTGCGCCTTTTGCTGGCCAGGACAGGCTCTGGTTCCCCTGCGACCCTGATTTGGAAGATGCGGTTAGAAAATGGAGGGATACTCTCTCGTTAAACATTGAGAAAGCATTTCAGAAACAGCCCTGAGAGATGCTAGAACTGGAAAAGAACCTGAATCTCGGTTGAAAAGGAGGAAGGTAAAGGACCATAGCAGATTAAGGAAAAGGAACCAGGAACGAGAGTGGGAGTCTACTACAGTAGAAGAATAGTCACTGCCAGAGGAGTCTGTTCGATTCTTTTTGTTCGGAGGTGAATGATCCAAGACCCGTGGCTCTACCTGTAGATCTTTCCCAGAAAGGGCCGTGGGGGTCTGGAGCCTGGCCCACCGGGTGACCGTGCTTTGTGCTGTGCTCCCAGGGCAGTAAGGGGCTGTCGCTGTTCTACGCAGAGGTGCGGGACGAGCTGGGCCACCTGAACAACATCGAGGTCCAGCGGCTGAAGGACAAGCTGGGGACCAGGCAGGTGCCCACTGCGGAGCTGCTCCTGGACGGCCTGCGAGCCCACAGGGTGAGCGCCAGGGCTCAGGCTGTGTCCCGGCGACCCTACTGTGCAGACAGACGACGGGGAAGGGCCGCCGCAATTGCCTTCCCTAGCTGATCCCTCTCCGGTCTCTCTCCTTCAGGTATCGGAGGAAGGCAGAGGAGTGGCCTCCATTGCCAACATGCTGACGATAACCCGCCTCCACAACACAGTGTCAGCGGTGGCTGGCATGAGGAGGTGGGTCATGGGCTTCACTGCTACACCAACACACAGTCCAGCTCTGATTCCCTCAAGCGTCTCATCTATTGCTCGAATGTTTTTAGATGTATCGCTAGCAAATGAGCACATCTTAAGGGTGCTAAATATACTCGCATTTATTCAGTAAGGGACTGGTCTTGCTTCATATACTGTCCATCTGAGTGTCTCTGTACAGATGACGTTTCTCCTGTGCAGTAGGCATCCTGTTCCCCGACTTCAGATCTCAGACCAAATCAGGTTTCAAAGTGGCACGGTCGGTGACACTACCAATAGAGTATTTTCTAAATTAACTTAATAATGCACATGTGCTATACATGCTGTAATAGTGTATGATGTATTAAAAAAGGGATCTCGGCAGACAAGTGAGATTTTGTTTCGTGAAGCGAATGAAAACCGCCGGGCTCTAGGAGTATTCTCAATAAAGAATCTGCTCTCCCTGGCAGGATCATTGCTCTGGGCCGGGACTATGCCACAAAGCGCTTTGTCTTTGGGAAGTTCCTCAAGGATCATCCTCTCCACATGCAGACCCTGGCCAGGATGGAGGTAAACTGGAACTGCTGCCAGCTCTTACAGAAGAGAAGGGGGTTCTGCAGTCCATGATGTGAATACCTTTCACTTCTTGTGAAAGACGTCCTAGGAAAGAATACTTCCTGTTACAGACCTAATTAACCAATTAACACAGTAAGGTATTCGTAGTTAATGGGGAACATACTACTGTGCATAAAGGCTAGGTTATTTTCATCCAAGTTTTTTTAAACAAGATAACGACAAACTGTGCTAATAATAGTAAGAGGTATTTAGAACCCAAGCTGGATGCCATGGCAAGTGATTGACTAGTCACCAGAAAGTCCAGATGTGAATCAGACTGAGACCCTGTGAAATTACCCGGAGTCAGAGAAAAATAAGAGGAATATTTCTGGAATGTTTGTGGTATAAAATATCACAAAAATCTGATTAAACACACAGAAGCAAACAAAGCTTGGAAATGTAAAACATTTAAGCAAAGTGTAACCTGAACTTTAGAGTGTATTTGGCACAGTTTGTCATTTTGTTGTTAAAGAGTTTTCTACTGCATGTTTTAAATGAACCACTACAGTACGGTAGCAGTAAGACAAATGATGAGAAGTATTGCATTGAAATGTCACAGACTCCTCCACTGTGCTGTATGTTGTTTTGATTACTTGGATAAAAGCTTCTGAAAATATGTCTGACTTTGTTGTGGGACATTCTCCATTAGAAGAGCAGGAGACAGTCTTGTGTAGTTTCAGTCTTTATCTAAGTCTTCTCTTTATCTTTTCAGTCTTCTCTCACACTTTGAGTACTTGTCCTGTTCTCTGATATGTGATTACTTTTTAACACCTTGTAGGAGGAAATTAGTTGCTGCAACTATTAAAGAAAGACAGCTTTATTCTATCTTAACATGCCTTTTGGTAAAGATCCCTGCAATTACTCTGCTACCTTCCACAGTGTGGTTAAGTAGTGGTGATGTAGTACTGGATATGTATGCAGTAGGCCGCCCTGCAGACGTGGCTGTGTCTGTCCCTGGGCCCAGGTGGAGACGCGCGCGGCCTTCCTGCTCATGATGTCCGTGTGCCGCCTGCTGGGCCGGGAAGAGCTGGGGTCGGCCTCCGAGCTGGAGCTGCACCTGCTGCGCCTGCTGACCCCCGTGGCCAAACTGTACACTGGGAAACAGGTACTGCCAGTATGGAGATGGCTGAGTGTGGGCATGAGAACATTCGTGTCATTTCTCCCACTCCCAGTGCCCGTTTTGGACGGCTTCTGGAGATGAAAGTACAAGCCTCTGAGGGAGCTGCTGTAAAATGATTTAGATCACTAACTCTGGGAACATCATGGAAGAGACAGAAAAGTAGTTGTTAAACTACTCTAAGACTCTGCTGGCAGCTAGTTCATTTGAATTCATATTTTCAACAAGAACGTTACCATTAATTTTCCTTCTTTCTTCTCATCCTTCTCTCTTGCCCTGCTTTCGTCCTCTTGTCTCTCTCTGCCAGGCTATGTCTGTGGTGTCTGAGGGCTTGGAGTGTTTCGGTGGACAGGGGTACATGGAGGACACGGGTTTGCCAGGAATGCTGAGAGATGCACAGGTAGGGTCTCCAGAGATCAGCTCAGAATCTGACTTTGGGTTGAATTATCTGGGGCTTTAGAGAGATAAATTGTGAGAAATACACTTGAGCATTCTTAAGCTAGCTTGTAAGTAAAAGAGTACTGTCCCATTCATGAGCATTGCTGCCTCGCAGTGCTGGGACCCTAAGTTCATTTCCTGCAGTGCAATCGTCATGGAGTTTGTATCTTCTCACTGGTTTCCACCAGGTGCTCTGGTTTTCTCACACAGTCCAATGGCCTACTGGCGGGTTAATTGGCTTCTGGGAAAACACCCTGGTGTGAGTGTGTGTGTGTGTTTGTGTCTGTGTCTTCCTGTGAGGGCTGGCGTCTCGTCCCTGGTGTGTCATACCTCGCGCCTGGTGCTTGCTGGGACAGCCTCTGGTTCCCCTGTGAGCCTGAATTGGAGGAAGCAGTTAGAAGATGAATGGATGGATCTGTTCAATACCATGGATATTGAATAACATTCAGCATTTACATTTAGTATGAAATATCACCAGCAAGTAAAAGCATAAAAACCTGAATGATTGTTTGTCAAGGCTGGTCACATTGTGTCATAGTTTTCATTCTGTTAGAACTTGAAGGGATGTCATTGAAGCAACTGACTGGTTTAAATCTCTGCTGTTTCCAGGTCTTTTGCCATTGATGATCTTTAAGTTCCCCATGAAGCCTGCAAGTTACAGGAATGATTATTTCTGTTTTGGATACAATACAGTAGAATGTGAAATATGTGGAGGAATACTGTCATGAGAGCACATAAACGAGAAACTATTCCTTTTAAAGTTTCCACTATGTCTGTCTCTGCCTCTCGCAGGTCCTGAGTATCTGGGAGGGCACCACGAACATCCTGTCCCTGGACGTGCTGCGATGTCTGGCCAAGAGCCATGGCCAGGTTCTGGAAGCCTTCTTCACTGATGCCAAGGTGAGTTTCACACAGGTGGGCAACTGGTGTGGTCGGCTGGGAGGCAGTTTCAAAGGGGAATAATGCCATCTCCTTTCCTAAAAGGAGGAATCACCTATTATTTTTCTGTTTCCTATCCTACCACTTTGTGATCTCCAGTCAGTAAAAGTCTGGATACTCTCTTGAGAGAATGTAGCCGCGCACACAGTGTTTGACCCTGCCCTCCTGTTGGAGCGACTTGCTGTTCTGTACGCTGTGATCTCCACAGCGCCTGACTGGAGTGGTGTTAACGCTTGCAGGTACACGGCGGATTGCAGGGTTTAATTCTGAATGCCAATCTGAGGCTGCTTTGGCCAACTAGCTTCTAACAAAGAGCAACATACACTGATGCCAGTGAAAACCTGTAAAGCTATCATGTTCATTTCAGTTTTACTTTTTTGAAAGGTTTCTTTTCAGCCTTTTTCACGCTGTTAGATTGCACAATCCAGTAGTGCTGTTTCTGTCATCCACCCAGCTTCTTTTAACTCAAAGTAATTTAAAGAATTTGAAATTGCACAATGATAGCCAGGTATTTCGTCTTGATATGGTTCCAAGCAAAGTGTTTAAGTCCTGCTGTAAACAGAAAGACAAGAAGAGCTGTTAATGGCAACTGTGGTGTCACTCCAGGATAAAGCCTTTAGATAATGGACACATGTATGTTGGTAAGGAACAAGTAAAGGTTTATTCCATGCTCAAAAGAGAAGAAAGGGAACACAACGTTTCGGCTGTGGAGCCTTCCTCGGGTGTGTCACCCTGTATTGGATAAAGCCTTTAGATATTGGACAGATGTATGTTGGTAGCTGACCTCAGAAGTATTCCTTTATTTATATTTGTTCCCTTTCATTGCAACAAATGAAGTGTGTACAGTACTAAACTACAGCATACATCAAAAAGGGTATAGTTCACAAGGGGCTCCCCACAGTTCCTTGTTGTCGGACGAGGTTAAGGGTTTAGTGCTCAGGCTTCACTCTAGTGCTGTCTTAAGTCATGCCTTGACTGTTCTTCCTTGTGCGTGCCATCTGCATTCCAGAGTAAACTGGCCACGGCCTCAGGAAAACGGGAACTAGGCCCAGCTGTGACGGCAGTGGACAGCGCCCTCGGCAGGCTGGGGCAGTTGGTACAGACAGTGGCACAGCTCTCCCCTCGCTTCCTGGAGCTTGCAGCCCGAGACCTGGCATACAGCCTGGCACGCATCTACATGGGTACTTATCCGCCGGTTTTAGGATTAAATCCAAGCTTTTACTCGCCTGCCAGTTGTAAATACCGAAATCCAGCACTTAATAGTAATTCCTTGCACTTGTGCAGCACCTTTGAAGCCAAATTACTGCACAGACAGGAGGAGGTCCGGTTCATCCGTCACTGAAGTGTAGTCCCCAGCTGGATAACATGTAGCCACTGTGCAGCAGCAGCCCCACTATATAGCAGTTCAGGCAAAGAAGTAAGAAATTGGTCATCTCGAATTGAAGTAATGGGGATCTTTAGGAAGTTCATATTGTAAAAGCCCAAAATGGAATGTAGGCAGGGCAGTTGGTTAAAGGTTAACATCGCTACGTTTGGACGCCACAGGATCTTTAATAAACATGTAGTCAGGACATAGGTTTAAAGTCAAACAGCACACTGTCCCTGGTGACCATGTTTCGGCACTGGTTTTGTGATTCTGGTTCCATCAGAAAGGTTCCATCAACACCACTCACGGCAGCAAACTTTCCTTAAAAATGCCCTAACCTAGTAATAACCATGCCCAGCTTTGCTTAGTTTCTGTGATGATCAAGCTATAAGGTGGTAACCCTGCTTCCAATAATTGTATTTAAATTGTTTTGTATACTGTGCATAAAATTAGCTTAATTCTGATACTTTGTTTTTACTGAATAATCGCATCTTCAGTACAGCCTTTCTAATGCTGTTTGGACTGGGTTGCAGCCCTACTTCTTGCCTGTCAGCAGAGGGCAGTGTTTCACTATGAAAATATTCTCTACTTTCAACATATGCTTAGAAATCAAAACCTAATACATGATTTATTCCTTAAATATGTACACAGCACAGATATTATGTCTTTACATTGATTCCTTTAGCGTCTTGCACTCACTGCAGAACTTTATTAATGGTGCGAGGAACCCTGCTTAAAGGAAAAGGCTTTACTTGCTGCTCAAGTGGTGGAGCAGTGGCTCTGTGGCTAAGGATCTGCGCCTGTGGCCGGAAGGTTGCTGGTTCAAATCCCGTGGCTGGCAAAGGAATCCTACTCCGTTGGGCCCCTGAGCAAGGCCCTTAACCCCAACTGCTCCAGTGGCGCTGTACAATGGCTGACCCTGCGCTCTGACCCCAAGCTTCTCTCCCTCTCTGTGTGTCTCATGGAGAGCAAGCTGGGGTATGCGAAAGATGAATTCCTAATGCAAGAAATTGTATATGGCTAATAAAGTGATCTTAATCTTAATCAAAAGGTTTGCCAGGGCAGGGTGAGAGGAGAAGCAAATGGTGTTGGAAAGTTATGTAGAGTGTTTTATTGTGCTGTGTTGTGGGAGACAATCAGGAAGTATAACTGGAGAGTGTGCATAACAGGAAAAACAGGGATCCAAAAATGAACTGGATGTGCCAGTTCGTGCTATGTATTGCTAGTATTTTCTGGGGGGGCAGGGAACGGGGTGTCCCAGCTCGAAGGAATGGTGTTGTGTTGCGTCCCTGCCCAGCAGTGTGAGTAAGCTGAGTAAGGCAGAGTGAAAGAGGGGTCACAATGCCTGTTTAATGTCTCACCGCTGTCTTCCCTCAGGTGCCCTGCTGGTAGACCATGCTGCCTGGGAGGGGGCCACAAAAACAGACCTGTATGCTGCACTGAGGTACATCTCCTCCAAGACTTTCAAGAGCTACTGGCCCGGTGTGAAAATTGTTGAAAGACAGCTGTGCTGTGCTGAATTCAGCTCCTGACTGTCCCGTGTTGAAGATGCCCAGCCAAGTCCTGTCAATTGCACAGACTACTTTAGTATTCATACTGTAGGAAGCTGCATCATACTATCTAAATCAAACAGGTTTTGTTGTAGCCCTCAAGAGTTTAGGCTTATTCTGCACTCCACGCAAAGCCTTTCTATTCAGGGGACTTCAGCAGAGAGGTAAAAACCCTGCCATATTAAAGGCCATTAGACTTGGTGTCCCACTCACACAAGTAGAACAGAAAACCAACCACAAAATGGAGCTCACAGAAACACGGCAGTTTTACCTTGAGCCTCATGTAGGGCCTGAAGCAGATAATGGTCAAGCTGTGAATTGAATTCCATCAGTACTGGTAGAATATTTAACAATAATACTGGTTTTCTGTGTGTTCTTTTTGATATTGTGGGACTCTATGTACATTTTTTAAATGATGGGTATTTTTTGGTCACCCTGCAGATGGTGTGAGCAAGACCTGTGCCCTGTGGTTACCAAGGAAACGCATGGCTGCTATGAGCAGGAGGCAGTTGCCATGGACACAGCCCTGGTGTATGATGGGAGTCCCGTTATCACTCACAGTGCCCTGTGATCCATGTCTGCATTTGTGTTACCAGTCTCCAGGCTGACCTTCTCCAAGTTACTGCTGCAGTTATCTGCTTGCCAGTTATCAGAGATCTTTTCAATGTAATTATCTTGTTTTACAAAACATATTGGAACCTTGTATTACACAGATGATTTGCAAATTATTTTTAAGCAGAAAGGAACTATATTTGTAATATTATGAAGGAATGATCAAAGCACTGTAATTTGGAGTGTGGTAAGAAAAAAATCATATAGGATATCAAAATAGGAGTAACAATTTGATCCCGACTTTCTTATGTACTGTAAGTGAAGGTCAGATCAGTATAGCAGCTACGTAGCTGTAAGGTTTTGAGAGCAGTTCAAAAGCAGAAAATGACCTTTATAGTAACAGCATAAACACTGATCTTCTAGGAATTTATTTCCTTCATACTTTGTGCTTCAGTTCCATTTTTATCATTCTTGGAGAGTTCATACCAGAAGTATGTACACCTTTGAAAAAAGCTTTTTGCTTCCTTGTGTATTCCTACTGTAGGTGAGACCTTTATTGTACCACTCTTAAGTGTATTATTGTATCTCCAAGGGGAAAGAGTATAAACTGATTCAGTGAAATCAAGGGTCAAGATGAGTACTGTTGGCTCGTCATTGCCTGACTGGTAACATCTAATTTTTGATTGTCAGTCATTTTGCCTTGTTCTTGTCAGTAAAGAATTTAAGATGAACTGATTACAGAGAATTCCCTGAATAAGGGCATCTGGAAGGCAAAGTTGGTAGTAAAATGGCTGAGAAAATGTTCTCAGCTACTTTTTATTCTCAGAACATTAATGTTCTTCAGTCAATATTTTATATTGATTATACATTTATTGTTTTAAACCAGATTTATAAAACATTCCTAAGCTGTGTACTGTTACCACAGTTTAAAATACAGGGACTTTGAAATCAGGTTTGTTTCTGTTGTTAATCTCAAACAATTATTACTCCAAATACCTGCTCGATGTGCAGCAGTGACCCCTGTGTGTGTTGCTGGGCACCTTTGAGCTCTGCAGTGTTGTCAAGGACAGCTGAACTTTGACCTTCAAACTTTGGCTGAATGAAAAAGAAAGCAGAGGACCTGTTTAAATATCTCCTGTGCTAGTACAAAAACATTAAAATCATCACATTTGTTGATTAATAATTGGCTATTCAAAAAAGTAGATTCTAATTATGGTGTAATCTAGCAATCACGTCACAGATAGTTTTATAAATGAGGCTGTAAGTTTGGCAATGGTGGTTTAGTGGACAGTAGCATATTGGTTGTGCCTAAAGTACACTAAAATCTGATTATGATGATACTTATCCTGAGTTTGAAATATTCTATAAATGTTCTACATATGTAATAAAGTATATAGAGTATGGTATAAAATATAGGATTTGTTTAAAAATAAACACACATTAATTATAATATCTGTCCTTGATTCTGTCAAATGATTCAAAAGAGACTCTTGCCAGACTTGTTTACCTAAATTAGCATAAGGTATAATATGGAAATTTGTGTCTGTGAAACTGCAGGTGAATATCAAATTAGGTGTATTATATCTTACATTCAAAGGTCTCATCCTCACAGTTTTAAAAACACCACAGGATTGTTTAATACTTTTTCTGTATTTTGATAATCTACCATGAAAATTGCTATTTATCTCAATTTATACAGCACTTTATACCAGTTGTGCATTATAAAGAAAGGATGCATTTTCCAAGTGCTTCAGATGGCAGGGTATGAAACATCATTGTGATGGACTGGCATCCTGTCCAGGGTGTGTGACTGTGTGTATCTGTGTGCCTGTCCTGTCCAGGGTGTGTGAGTGTGTATGTATCAGTGTGCCTGTCCTGTGATGAACTGGTGTCCTGTCCAGGGTGTGTGAGTGTGTGTATCTGTGTGCCTGTCCTGTCCAGGGTGTGTGAGTGTGTGTATCTGTGTGCCTGCCCTGTGATGGACTGGTGTCCTGTCCAGGGTGTGTGTATCTGTGTGCCTGTCC